CATAATGTTTAGTGAAATTATTTGGTAGTCTGAGGGGGGCGCAACCAAAAAAGTTTGAGAACCACTGGTCTAAAGTTAACAGAGTGTTTAAAAAGTGCAGTGCACATGTTTACATATGTTTATTACAGTGACTGAATTACCTAAAGTAGCGTGGTAAAGCAACAGATTTGTTTCTATATTTCTGCAATCTACTTTAGTTTGTGTGATTTGTTACTGACTTTCATATTAATGCTTACACCAGGCTTATTTAAACATAATTATTACATGCTTACAAGGTTGGAAGTTCAACAAATCAGTCAATATACTGTGATTGTAGTTGTTAAATAAAAATGTCATTCATATCAATTCATGCATTAGCTAATTTCATCGTAACATATAGGCCTGGCCTACAGAAAAGAACATTTATGTTTAATCTATCTAATAGTGTGTTGGTCATACTATACAATGATTTATAGCTTGTCTTTGTTGAATAATACCGAACATAAAGTAATTGCATATTAAATCGCAATTGCAATATTGGTAAAAAAAAAAATCGCGATTAGATTATTTTCCAAAATCATTCAGCCCTATTTCCGGGCTTTGTGATATCACAAAGCAGCCCATTAGAATATCATTAAAAATAATTCCCGCCTACAGAAATTCGAATGGTTGGGGGGTGGGGAGGGGCGAGGTCGTGGTTAGAACGCTTGGTTGAGTGAGCGCATCAGACGAGACAATGAAGAAGAAGAGCTGCTGCAGAATTAGTGCATCAGAGAAAACCAAGAAGAAGAGCTGCTGTGCTGTAGCGTCAAGTTTTCGGCATGTCTAGAACAATTCTTACAAGTACAACATGACGTAGCTGGGCGCCGCGGACAAGCGCCGGTGTGCTTACACTCATAGAAAATAATGTATTCGAATTTTAAAGACGTGGCACAACGCTGCGTTTCTCGTCCGGTGTGCGACTGCCTGAAGCTGTTTTTTTTCACCTCCGTGCCCAAACGTCTTTGTTTGGGCTTCCGAAAGCGGATGATGTCAGGAAAGAGTGGTTGCTATTTATTTTTTAACTCTGTCCCTGAGCATTATAACCCCAATTTACTATTGTGTGCTGCGCATTTCACTGAGGACAGCTTCCACAACATGAGGGAGTACAGTGCCGGATTCGCCAAAAGCTTTTGTTGAAAGACGGAGCAAGGGGGCGTGGCAGTACTGAAACACCATCTAAGCTGTTCGCCAATCACAACGCACTGGGACAGCTAACCAATCACAACACATTTTGTTTTTCGGAAGGCGGACCTTCATCAAAGCCGGAACTAATCGAGCCGTTTGTGCCAGGATGGGGAGAAAGGTATTTTAATAATGTAAATTAAGTGAAA